CAGCTGCTCGGCTTATCTGCAATGTATCCAAGTTTGATCATATATCACCTGTTTTATATCATTTGCATTGGCTGCCAGTTTATTTCCATATAGAGTTTCAAATACTACTCATCACTTTTAAGGCATTACATTGTATGTCACCAGATTATATTAGGGAATTAGTTACATTAAAGAGACCTAATCGGTACAGTCTGCGCTCTGGTAACCAAATGTTAATTGAGCCACCAGCTGTAAAAACGTTGGCTACACTTGGCGATCGAGCTTTCTCATACTTAAATTACGACAATCCAACAATTCCTGATTATGAATAGCGGACTGCAACATTGTAAAATATAGATCCTAAAAACGACAATAATGTAGCATTTTCAATAAAATAGAACTCAAATCAAATGTACACCTAAAAATATGTCTATATATGTGTTAAATGGAATGTTAAATAGATGAGTTTTGACTATAGGCGTTTAAAAGATTCCAGCGACTTTTCACATTGAATATGACTAGGGTAGCTTATTCCATAATTTTGGGGCAGCTTATCTATATTTTACAGTGTTGCAGTCCGCTGTTTTATAATCAGCCTTTGTAATGCGCACGTGAACATATCTGTATGTAACGTGCGCAATATAAATCAATAAATATTATTATTAAATATGATAAAAATACACATTGTTCTACTACGTTAGCTATGCTAGTGTGGAGATGACGTCATACGACCATGCAGAGACCAGCCACCGCAACAGAGCTAGAAAGTTTTTCCCCACCGACACAAACAAGCGAGGGGGAAGGGGGTCCCATGGCTACCAAATGTGGGAGATCAGGGAGTTGCGCCATCAAGTACACGCGCAGGGAGAGAGAGCGGCGCCGGCAGAGCACGTGGCAGACAGGGGGGTGTGACACTCGAACATACACTGGACCAAGGGGGTTGCATCACCTGTACACGTGTTAAGCGAGGGAGGACAACGGCGAGGCACCTGGGGCACGGGACAGAGAAGCACTGCCAGGTTCCTACGTCATCGCAGGCTTCTATATAAGCAGCCAAGATCCAATGGTAAAATCAGTCAGTCTTCGGACGGCCACGAACGAACCAACGAACGAACGGACACGAACGAACGAACGAACGAACGAACGAACAAACGAACGAACGAACGAACAAACGAACGAACGAACGAACGAACGAACGAACGGACGAACGAACGGACGAACGAGCGACTGAAAGAGAAAGAGCGCACACACACCGTCGGAGGGAGAGCCCCTGCAAGCCGGACACCGCCCAAGAAGGTATACTTTATACTAAGGAAGCTATAGCCTACAGACGACAGGGAGACACACTGCCAACCCACGAACTCGCGCCGAGCCGCGAAGCACACGACTGGGAGAGACAGAGACGACTACAATAGTAACCTGTAGAATAGCTAAGAGAAGTTAAACGCGTAATCAGCTAACGAGATAACGTAAACGTGGCACGAGCAATATATATTATATATATCTATACGCTATATTCGAGATACGTGCAGTGAGCATTATTCATGTTATTTGTATATGATGAATAAAACCATCAGTTGTATAAAGACTATCTAAGGACTTGCGTTCATTTTACTCTGGGTTTTCCTGCTACTGCATTACCGTCCTACCTTCGCGGTAGGAGCGAAAAATGATCCCGACACAAATAAATTACACGTGCTAACCACAGCACGTGTAAAAGTCTAGTGTGGCCACCCCTAGGGCCACTACACTAGGCATTGTACTGTCTATATCTTTTGTAACCGCGGCAAACAATGTAACTAATTATATATCGTATATTTTTTCATTTTATCAGGAGCGTATAATAACAAATACGCTTTGTCATTATACGCTCCTGATTATATGTTTATAGAAGTGTGGCCAGTAGAAGCTAGAGTGATCGATATACAAATTTTGAGGAGAGAGAAGCGGTGATAATGTCATCTGCGGTTACCTGGTCTATCGTGTGTTACCTGTTGGTTACGCACTTCGTCTTCACCGTTGCTCATTTTACTGACCCTGACCATGACCATGTTCAAAATCATGATGACGCAACCTGCGTGTGCAACATCACTGCAGTAGACACGCCATGTAATAGTTCGTGGGCAAAGTACCAGTTCAGCCCGCCTATAGGTAGTATTGTATTCAGCATGTTCTACCTCATGCTAGTATTGAATTGACAAGCGGTGGCAACGGAATGCGACGCTTGACACCTAGCCCATGTACATGGGACATGTACACAGGAGTGGTTGACGCGGCGCGCGACAATGGACGGGCGCGCCTTCCGCATCCGCCTTGCGCTAGAGAATAAGTGACACGACGCATGCACCTACGAGCGGGCATCGCTTGCTTCCAGCAAGGGTCTGGTTTTGACAGACGAGTTTTATGCTAGATCCGGTTTTGAGCCGACATATATAAGCAGCATTTGACAAGCAAAAAGAGACAAGATAGAAGATTTAGACTGTGACTATGTAGTCAGTCGGACAAAGATCGAGACGAGGCGCCGGAGCCTATAGGCATGGTTGCCTAGGCTGTAGTATTATATATATTTTGTATATGTTGAGTAAGAAATAAAGTCCAAGTGAAGAACTAATCTGCGACTACGGCTCTACCTCTGCTATCTACGCTGCTGCTGCTAACCTCTCTACCATTCGTCGCCTCACACCGCTGTCGATTCTAGATTGATTTTGAGGACCGTGGCCGTGCAACGGGCATTATCCAGCAAGCTATTCCCCCCAGAATAGGCTAAATAGGAGTACAACAATTGGTGGAGGATGCAACGATCTGCATTCGCTACGCTAATCCCCCGAAACCAAAAGAAGACGAAGAAGGAAAAGAAGATTCTGCATTCGCTACGTACGCTACGCTGATTCCCCAGATGATGAAAAAAAAGAGAGAGAAGAAGAGCATCGGGAGAGAAGAAGAGCGGGGGAGGAAGATAATGGAGAGGCATGCAGCCATGTTGTGATGTCCTCCAAGCTCGACAGCCTTGATCCAGAGCCCGCGCAGAGCAAAGTCGAGGAGCAGCAGAAGAAGTAGTCTAACACGGCGACGATATGGTAAGCTACATCGTAATTTTACTGTATACATAGCCACAAATTCGGAAATAATTTATTAACAGTAAAACAGCTCGCGAAGTGCCGAGCAGCGCGCGAATTTTCGTAGCTAGAGTGGTATTCGAATTTCATGGTAACGGCGTACAGTGACTCAAGCGTCGAAAGTATATAGTAAGCCTATGCGATGAGAGGGGCGAGACGCCCAGCCGCTTCCAAGTATGACCTCGAACGTGGCCAATAGGGTAAGCTAAAATTAGCGTCCCTGCCAACAGAGGCATACTACGGCACAAAACTTACCATAGAGCGTTAATTAAAGGTGACGAGCTAAAACAGCTCCGCCCGGGAATTGGGTATGTCCGATTTCGTCACGCGTCGCGTCATTTTTGAGTCACGGCTACTGCCGATACCATTGGGTCGATACCACGAATTCAAAATTTTTATAAACAAAGAGTTGACTATGTATATGTGTTTACGATATAGCTTACAGCCGGTCCTATCTGTATTTTATGTTTTGTCGTTTGTTTGTTTGTATATTGTTTCTTTTGATTAACCGATGACTATAACGTGTTTTAAGTGGTAAGAGGTAATTAACCTTGATTGCCATCCTTCCTAGCCTTTCCATGCCGATTCGTGTTGAGTTACCGTTACATACTGTCGCCCCTTCCTGTGATACGAAAATGTGCGCACATTTTTACTAGACAGCTGCAGCTCCCCTCAGCCCGTTTCAAAACCGGACTTTCCATCCCTTCTCTACCCCAAGGATTTACCTCACCATCATGCCTTAGACTAACGTTTTTAACTTTTAATGTTTTTACGTATAACTGTATTTACGTGGGGACACGAATTCTTTCGAGAGGAAACGAAGGATTGTTGTATTGTGTGTACGGGTACATTGTGCGTTGTAATTAACCGGTAGCGCTTATAGCCAGGCGAGGCAGTGGGACTAATTGTCCTGTTCGTTGTTCGTGTTGTTTTTGTAATGACACGGGACGCGCCTCTTAGCCCGCAAGGTCCGGCCGATAATAATTATTAAACCGGTTGGATCCAGATGTCGCCGGGCCATTTTGGAAATGATATAAATAGAGACAATCGGACAGAGAGATATAACCGAGCGAGGAAGCGAGTTATAATACATAAGAACCGAGAGAGGAACCGAGCTACGGACGTTACCTACCCAGGAGGGGTTACCTACCATAATGTAGAAAAATGGAGACGACGGGACCTAGGTGGGTCACCCACCTAAGTTGCCGTACGTATGTATATATTTTGTTATATGTTTTATTATGTTTTATTATATGTGTTACTAATAAAGTCAAGTGAAACAACTAATCTGCGGCTACGGCTCTACCTTGGCTATCTACGCTTCTGCTGCTAACTTTTCTACCATTTGCTGACGAAACAACGCTGCCACCTTCTACGCTGTCGACCTACGAGAACCCGAAGTCTTTACCTAAAACCCCAGTACAATATAGTAGTATAATTATAGATAACATATATACACAGATATTACGATACAGACCAGCGTGGGACTGTGGTGCTGTAGGATATAGTATTATTCTGATACAGGGTTACAATTTAAGGATTACAGGATTTCTTAAATACTTATTGATTTCTCGCTATCTTCTTTTGTATCGTCCTTGACGTCAGACTTTGGACCTAAATGGAAACTAGTGTTCAATGGTACTGCGGGCGTTTCCATGAATCTGTACACACTGTGGATGTCGGACAGCGTACTGAACGTAAATGTACCAGAGGCAATGATTCCCACTTCTCACTACCGTATCAACTACAAGTCACACATGGCAAACGACTGGACATATATATAGAGGAGGTTAGCTAGTAGGGCCTACATCTAAATCACTATAATCGTAATTTCGGTTTTAGTCGACCTTATTTTGTAAATATTCACGTGACCGAGCTAACGTGAAGCTAGCTTGTGGTGCGTGGCAGGAACGGTATGAATGTTGTGCTTTCAAGATAAAAATAATTGTTGGTGACGTAACCATCGATTATACATGGATTCGCTAATAGAAGAGGAATTTGACCACTGTCTAATTTAGGTAAAAGTGGTATTCCCGAAGAACGATGAAGTCGCTATGTTCGTAAATTTCAGTGGTCTGTGCCAGGATGGAGAAGAGTGGTTTTCAGAAGACAACATAATTGATTCGTCATTCTCCGATCTTTCCCCGCCCACCATGTACTGCAGTATCGAATGGTAGGCATTTTTTGACTTCTGCTTTACGCAAACATTATATATAATAAGAAAAGCACTGCAAATATGAATGACAACATAAACTTTATATAAATTCACGAGAGATAGTTCTTAAGGATTTTCGTCTGTATAGATGCTTTTGCTTCATGTGCGTTTTAAGCGGTTACTGAACTGCTGCTATTAATCACCCATGTTCTACAGAGACGCTGATTCTGACATGCCGAGACAGTTCTTCATTCATGATTCCTACACCGGCTGCTTTAATGACCCTGGGTGCATGGATAGTCGTGTTGGACAGAATGAGCCCACAGGAGGATGACCCATGTCAATGGGGAATGAGGCACCCATCAAAACGACCTATGTTCCTGTATTGTCCGGATGGGCAAAAATGTTCAGCTACATGTAAGTTTACCAACACTACAGTTAGTACTTCTTAGATAACGTACACATCTGCCGATACGATGCTGATTTTTGTAAGACATGGTTACGGCACCCTACCTACGCCAACACCTTCAACACCAACAACATTACCAACCACCCCGACAACATCTCCATCCACACCAACAACATCACCAACCACACCAACAACATCACCAACCACACTAACAACATCACCAACCACGCCCACAACATCACCACGCCCACAGATGTCTCAGGAGATCTGGATCCCTGTGAGTAAGGTCACATGAATTCAGTCGAGACGTACGTTCTCCCCGCTATATGTCTTGAAGAAGCGCCATGGTCAGCGAATCGTAAGCACGATGCTCACCTTTGCGCATCGTGTGGATCTCAAAATGATTCACGAGCGTTGCCAACATGACGTCACATAACGTCAACGCTATAGTGTGATTATTATGACATCACTTACATGACCGGTGTAGATTGTAATTGTATTACTTGTACTGCGTTATTTTAGGAAGTTTACTAATTTTGTTTAGCTTTACACTGAAAGAGTGTAATCAGAATGTTATGACATGATGGCGATTTTATCATATCTTTAAGATATCAAACAACACAGTCTACAACGAACGAACGTATCGTCATTAATAAAGAATTGTTTCATATTTGATGCATTATTAATTATTTTTACTCACTAATTTGCAAATCGTTCAGACCAGGTGTTATTATGTTACGCAATAAATATGCTACCAGTAAAAAAACTAGTTTCGCACTTTTGGTATTAATGCGTCTGCTGTTGCTGTTGCGTATTATATCGTAGACTGCACAGGTTTCTGGTCACAGGTACATAGTGCAGGTGGGGGCAAACCACGACAGTCCGAAGGTCTTTCAAATAATTTTGCATTTCAAATAACCAAATTATCCAGTTTTTATGCCGCGTTATACTGCGTTTGAATTCCTGCTATTTTTTATGTAAACTATTCGTGTACGTCCAGCAGGCCATAAACTCTCGTTGCTCTCCTATTGACTTGTTAATGACAAACGCGAGATTGCACACAGTGCCGAAACCAGAAATCCATAAATACGTCAATCCAATAAGACCAATAATTGATCACACTGTCTCTAGTGTGTATAACAATTAATGCAATACCGACAAACCTTCATGCATCCATCGTAGGAATAACCCCCATGTGAAAAGTTGTAAAGACGCACACTAATCCGTATCTCAACTTTAAGTCAGTCCGTCCAATAGTTAATAAATCAGAATTCTTCCGAACACTGCTAGACAGGGATGTATTAGCTGTCATAGATGAGAACAATAGGGCAGCAGACTAAACAGGTTTCTGGCTGGAGGTTGATAGTGCAGTTGATAGATTCAACCTGAAAAAGAACCAAGTATAGGTCGATATGTATAGATGTATGCCTAAAATTATAGTAGAATCTCTCTCAACAGCTGACGGTGTGATCCATCGGGTCATTCAACACCGCATAAAAACGTTACAAGGCCCGTGGAAGGTGATTTTAATTTTTTATAAGAATAAATGATTTTTGATGACATTTTATTCTTGCCTAGTTATCGAAGCAATCATTACAAATAATTTGTACGTGAGTAAAATATGAATGTGTGTGACTACAAGGGATAAATACACAAAAGGTATGAGAAATATATATTTATTTTACACTGTCTACGACATCCGTCTATTCCAACATTCACTTTCTGATAAAATAATACATTCACCTACTTAAATTGTGAGATATCACACTAAAGATTTTATGGCATGAAAATGCTTGGATGATAATTAGTGGTGTCATGAGGAATCCAGTCCTGCATTGCTTGTTTAGGATTCCGATTTAATTAATCAAGTTGCAAATTCTATGGTAAAGTTAGAGCAATTAAATTAAATCTAAACAGGGGTGTAGTTATAGTTGATGCCAGCAGACGCCACAAACATACACTCTAACTGCTCTGTATAACTATACAACCCCCTAGTGAAGCGGACTCACTGGCAATCTTCTGTCCCGGAGGCCGCCCGACTTTCTCTGCCCTCTGAATAGTGGGATTGGTTAATTATGGTTACGGATGCAGAACCAGTCATACAGCCACCGCGACGTGTTCCAGAATCGTTGAAACAACCGCTTAAGCAGGAGTTACAGCGCATGTTAGACCTAGACATTATCGAAGTGGTAGACGTACCAACAGACTGGGTGAATGGTCTAGTGTGTGTCATGAAACCGAACGGTGATTTGAGGATTTGTCTTGACCCGCGGCAACTTAACAAGGCGATCAAGAGAGAGCATCATTACACACCAACCTTGGACGATGTATTGCCGAAGCTTACAGGCGCTAAGGTGTTTAGCATCTTAGATGCCCCGTCGAGTTATTTGAAATGTAAAACTCAGCGGCGAATCAAAATTGCTCACAACGTTCAACACACTTTTTGGGCGATATTGTTTCAAAAAATTACCATTCGGTATTGTCTCAGCCCAAGACGTTTTCCAAAAGAAAGTTGACTAGACCTTTGAGAACATACCGGGTGTAGTAGACATTGCTGATGACATAGTGGTATTTGGTGCCAACGATGTCGAGCACGATGCGAACCTCGTCAATGTTCTAGAGCGAACACGGGAGTAGGGCTAAAGTTGAATCCAAGTAAGTGTGTGATAAAGAAGCAAAGGATTAAGTTATTTGGCAACTATCTTACTGACAAAGGTCGAGAGCCAGACCCTGACAAGATAGCTGCTGTAACAGATATGCCATTGCCGCAATCTGCCAGCGAGCTACAATCTATATTTGGTTTAGCAAACTACCTGGGAATTAAGGTACACGCCGCAGTTAGCCACGATCACGGCACCGCTCAGAGACCTTACGAAAAAGGATGTGGATTTTATCTAAAGCCATAAACACCAGGCAGCACTCAATCAGTTGAAGATGGCCATTAGCTCATCAAAGGTGCTAGCATATTTTGACCCATCGAAGCCGGTAACTGTACAGACAAATGCCAGCAAACGGGGAGTTGGAGCTACACTACTGCAGGGCGGATGACCAGTTGCATATGCTAGTAAAAGCTTGACAGAAATGGAAAGCAATTATGCTAACATTGAAAGAAAAATGCTCGCTGTAGTGTTTGGAGTGGAGCGTTTGGAGTACATGGTCAACTTTTACTTTCTGATACAAGAATACATTCACATACTTAAATTGTGAGATATTACACTAAAGGTTTTATGGCATGAAAATGCTTGGATGCTAATTAGTGGTGTCATAAGGAATCCAGTTTTGCATTGCTTGTTTAGGATTTCGATTTAATTAATTAAGTTGTAAATTCTATCGTAAAGTTAGAGCAAATAAATAAATTATAAACAGGGGTATAGTTATAGCTGGTGCCAGCAGACGCCACAAACATTCACGCTAACTGCTCTGTAACTACAAACCCTCCCCCTGTTAGGCTGACTCACTGGCTATCTTCTGTCCCGGAGGCCGCCCCGGTAACACACAGTCACATTAAAGTAGGCCTTGTTAGAGAGAGAGAGAAAATTACAACACGCACACTGTGCAACGAAACGAATTATATTTAACAATTACTTATTATATTAGTATGTCTTACTTATATAGTTTTAAATAACGATTTTCTCGGCAAATAAGGCTACCGAAAGCGTTCACATGAATCTGTGCACACTATGGATATCGGACAGCGTACTGATCGTAGTTGTACTGGAAGCAAATGTGTCCACCCTTGTGCAATACTAGTCGTATTTCAAACATTTAATTATCGTAATTATTTGATTGATTTCTGCTAGCAGTATAGGGAATTCTCATTAAGAAATATCGTCATCCGGAATGTTACCTGGCATTTTTCGAGCCGTATATTACATATAAATCGATGAGAAACGTCGGATGACTGATTACTAACCGCACTTAAACGACATACGAGATGATAAATTGTTTGATACTTATTATACTAACATTAACTAGAGGAAAAGGTACACAAAACACTTGCCCGCGATAGATATTAGTAATTCATGCAGTTAAATTGATGCTCTTACACAATCCAACGCTAAAACATCAAGCGAAGTATGCACACGTGCTTGATAGCTATGAGAAAATCATGTGGAAATACGTTTAATTTCGAGTAGCGAATCAAGTTGATCACCCCAGAGCATACCACCTTGTCGCGATTGGGGAGCCGAATGTACCGTAGTCCTGTTCCTAGGATAACGTGGATCCATTCCTATCATGTAGCGTCGAATAATGGGGAGGACTATGGGTAGTAGTAGTAGTAGCTAGGAGTATGCAAAATAGCAATCCCGTCTCGGGGTTGAGCGCAGAACCAACAATCCAGTCTTATAAAACAAGAACTTACAGAAACCGAAGAAAGAAGAATTCCATCAAACACCGTGTTGGAGGGCGCGACTGTTCGAGCCCAAACCGCCACCCCCTCATCTCGCTGAGAGACGGGGAGGAAGAACCGACGCACGGAAGAATGAAGCAGTCGGGTCAACGCCGCGAGGAAGCCCGACAGCGCACGAGGTCGTCACTCATCAACCCAAAAACTATACTTAAGATAGGAACCTGGAGCATTAGGACCTTATTCCAGGTCGGTAAAACAACCCAAGTGACAAATGAAGTGAGGAAGTATGGGCTAGACACTGAAAAACGAAGTGAGGTAAGTAGGCCTGGTTTCGGTAAAGCCAGACCTGAAACAGGCGAAACAGTGTTCTTCTCTGGGAGGGGAGAGGAAGTACATCGACAGGGAACAGCGCTACTACTCTCGAAATCTACAGAAACCGTCAGTGTAAACACCGGCTTCATCGATCAACTCATCAAATATCAATCTACAGTAACTACAGATTTATCACCGGCTGATTCATCGTCTCAAATTTTTAATATGTCACGCAGCAAGAGATCTAAAGACTCGCCCTCTATGCGTCTTGAATCTGAAGATGATTCACTAACAGCAGAGAAAGATGAAGACGTGCCATCTCTACTGGCCAGGATGAAACATCGACTAAATAGCAGCATCAAGAACATGGAGACGAAGGTGAGAGAGATTATTGATAGGCTATTCTCCCTAATAAACAATAATATTGGCGATATTAAGACCAGTCAAGAGTACATGTCTGCTCAGTACACTATTATAAAGCCTTTTCTTACTTAGAAAATATATCTGAAATCAAGAAAATTATTTTGTTTTTGGAAGATTTCAACTTTTCGAAAATTCTCCAATAATCTCAACAAGATTTTTAAGATTATATAGCTAGGGTTTGTTTCTAGTTTCAAGAATAATATTTCTATTTCCGTATTAATATTAAATTCTAGTTTTCTTGTAGGCGCATGATTCAATTTTGATAATTATATTCTAAAAAAATGCGTGATAACCCTCAATTTATTGTATAGTTTCACTTGTGCTGTGAAAAGGCTTGAGTAACGTTGCGCAACGTAAATGTCTAGACACCTTTATATGCCAGAAGACGTTCAAGCAATGTGTATAGTTATGTAGCATGATTAACCGTGTATATATAAAGACATTCAAATTATTATTAAATCTCAATTAATTTAAAGCAATAAATAAATAAATGAGTATAAAAGAAAATGACATAATTATTTCCAAATGACAGTTTTACTGATGGTATAGGGGCTATTTAGACAAACACAACATAAGGAAGCATTGCTATGAAGCATTTTACCGATCTGGAAAGACAGTTTCATTCATTTTATACTGACTAAATATCTATCATTTCGAAGCACATTTTACTCTTATATTTATACACAAAAATATAAAGCATATAAGCAATACATTATATTAAGTATATACTTTATGAAATACATTTGAATACATTGCAATGCATACATAATTTTGGCACCAAAGTTGTCATTTTGGTATACCAATATGGAAGACGTGATACCTTATTGATGTTACCAGAAATAATATTATGAAATACAATATATTATGTCTAGTGTATGTATGTATTATATTACGTTTTATTATTTACTCCTGATGTTACCCATGCAACTCAATTAGATCCGTCATATCGTGATAAATAGGAATATAGCTTTTAGATATTATTTTGTACATCTCAAACACAGGGAAATCAATTAATTCAGAATGCATGATTAAATTATATTCCTGAGACATCACCAGTTACTGAACCTCGTATGCTTGAAAAATTTCGTTAAATCGTTTTGTAATCATAGCCTCAACTGCATAATAAACCAACCGGCTATGGGTGTCCCTTTTTAATTATACCCAGATTGAAGCAATTTTACCAAATTCGGGTAGGCAACAATCGATATCAACATCAATGGCCACAATTCTACCTGGAGCATATTGTATCGACTATTATATACTGTTGTGTGTTTTTAGACAGAAAATGCCTAACGATGTTAACGAAGTTGGCCGAACTTTTTATCCAAGGCTCGGCCAAAAAATCCGGTCGGCTTCGGATAAACTTATAAAGGTCGCAATCGCTGCTTATGTGCAATCCTGCGTGAATTCTTCATTACCATTATGTTATTCAGCGGCTGCTTTAGTTAATCTACTCTTGGGGGTAGAAGTGTCCTCCGCCACTTCTGTGCTTAAACTGATTAAAATTGTACTTCTATACATGTAATTATTCCTTTTATAACGATGTACTCTGTATTTATGCACAAATAGAACAGTTTGAATCTTGAATCTTGAATCTCCAAAACAGCAACCAAAGCATTGATTGAATGGGAACCGATAAATGAAAGGCTAATAACAGCAAGATTTCATTAAAATTCCTTAAAATGACGAGCACCCAAGACTACGCATCGACAAACGACGCAATGGATGAAGATAAAGACAGATTCTACGAGCAACTGCATGCTCAAGTGGAAACATGCCATAAGCATATCAAAATTGTGATGGGAGACCTTAACGCTAAAGTGGAAAGAGATAACAAAGGGAGAAAAACGGGTGGATTTTTGCGTACGAAACAACCTGGTCATCACAGGAACTATATTTCCCCGATATTGAAATGTACCAAAAAACTGGCCTCATCATAAATAAGGATAAAACAAAGTCCTTGTGACTAAACTGCAGGAACAATCAACCAATGCTAGTCAACAATCAAGAAATAAAAGAAGTGAGCAAATTTAAATACCAAGGAGCACTAGTCACAAAAGGAAGGGGGTGCACGAGGACATGAAACACTGGATCAACATTGCCAGAGTTAAATTCAGCAAAATTTGGAGTACTAGCACAATATTCACTAAAACCAAAATTACATTACTAAACGTTATTGGTCGATCTGTTCTTTTATACGGCTGCGAAACGTGGAAGATGACACTGCACGACCGAAAAAAACTCGTCGTATTTCAGAACAATTGCCGGAGCAAAACTTTAAAAGTACGCCATAGATTGGCCACATCTTACGCAAGGAGAGGCACGACCACTGGCCTGACCTGGGCGCCCGAAGGAAGACGAAAAGTAGGACGGCCGAAACGCGTGCAACATCACTGTAGTAGAAAGGCGATGTGATGGTTTGTGTGTTATTCTATTTACGGTGATAAACAGTAACAGTTTTTGTATCTTATTTTGAAAATCATTGGAAGAAGAGGGAAGAAGTATAGGAGATCGAGGAGAAGGAGAATGAGAAAGAGGAGAAGGAGAATGAGAAAGAGGAGGAGGGAGAGGAGGAGTAGGAGGAGGAGGAGGAGGAGGAGGAGGAGAAGGAGGAGGAGGAGAAGGAAGAGGAAGAGGTTGAACGCGTGTTTAAAGAGGTAACTCGATCGCCCGTGCTGATCGGCAAACTGCAAGATCTTATTTTTCATATTCGAATTTATGTGTGTTTTATTAACTTTCGCGTTTTCATTTCACGTACGTTATCTGCGAAATTTTAAGACGTCGCCGTACGCAAATATCGCTCGCAAATATTCTACATTAAAATTACATCTGCGACCAACGCTTCATTAAGGTATTTGCGGAAACTTGTTCACCAGCATTTGACTAGGCTGGTTAACCTAATAACTAAAACATAATTCAGAAGGCGTCTATCGCTAACCGGTCGCGAACACGTCACGAAGCGCACCCTGGTGACTAAAAACTTGACTAACCGCAAGCAGCGCAATCAGTAGAGTCGAAGTTGTTGTCGTCAGTGGCGGCACCAGCATTGTAAAAGTGGGGGCAAGCTGAGGGCAAGAAAAAATGTTGGGGGGGTAAAATGTTGTGATGGCGTAGCGCGAGAACTAATGGGTGGGGTCCAGGGGGCGAAGCCCCCGGAAGCTCCGAGTTATTAGCATTTTTGAGGTGAAAAATCTGTATGCAGAATATACACTCTGTATGAAATAAACACGCTTGTAGAGCACTTCTGATCCATATCCAAACTTCTAATTTTACCGTAGGGCGCTAATGTTGTAAATAAAGGCTATCCACGGAAATTGCTGTTTCGCGGGAAAATAAAGGGAAAAATCGTAGGGCCTAGTGGCGGAAATGGAATAAGAAAGCGGAAATTTTCCGCCAAAATCGGAAGGGTTGGGAGGTCTGCCACTCGATAAGAATTCAAATTACATAGACTATAGCTAGCTGTGTAACATAACCGCATAACCGTATATTGTAACGTACATAATTTGCTGAGCTATTGCGTGTTTCACATGCACAGAAGCACACGCACGCACGCGCGCACACGCGCATACGCCCACACGCGCGCACACGCACACACGCATGCAGGCACATACGCAGGAACACGTACACAATAACGCACAGACACACACAGACACGGACGCCAACACGCACGCACGCCCACCCGCACGCACGCAGACGAAATTCCCCAACCTTCGCACAATCGACTTTCCTTCATATAGTTAATTAACATTTCGGGCGCATGTTCTTGAACTTTACTGCCAATGACATTACCGGCGCATGTGTGAACATTATAACGTCTACGGGATAAATATTGTAATGGTCTAAAGTGCAGGTAACTCCTTAGTTACCAAGCTCATGGACGTTCTTTTCTGCTTGCCCGCTCGCGCGCCTGCGTAACGTTGCCAAGCATTACGTCCCAACTACTGTTTAGCGTCGCCTAGCAACCAAGGCTTCTAGTTTGTGAGTGAGCTGTTTTAGCGTCTGCAGTCAAACAGGGCTACGAGTCGGCTTTATGTGCGTGGAGGCAAAACATGAGAAGTAGGGAACACGGTGCGGCATTCAACGATTACAGGTATCTCGATTTCGTGAGCGGTGAGACCACAATATCGGTAAAACTTACGTCACAGTTATGTGTATATAACAGCGGTGTAATATATGAAGTAAATGTACATTTGTGTGGGTCGCAAGGAACATGTTTGGGGCTGGAGAAAATATATATTGATTTGATACCGACATCGTATGCTATTGCTATTGTAGACATTATATATATGTCAATGGTAGGCTGATGCTCGGAACTTTCGTCTTTTATATAAAAAATATATAATTATACTGTATACCTAAGATAAGTAAGTAAGTAAGATAAGATTCTGCAGATACAAGTACTTTCTGTAAGTAAGATTCTGCAGATACAATTACGATATCTCCGGTCTTCTACATACTGTGAAGGTGGAGGCTTAAATAATAATTTTATAATGGCTATTATAACTATTATTAGAAGGGGTTAAATAATAGCTTGTTTGCTTTTTCGTCGTGAAAGCTAGCAGGCACGCAAAAACTCGCGTGCTTTCTATTCCAGCAAAATATCCCATAGCCGCTCTCCTTAGGTTGTAAATGTATTTGCAAATACAATGTTGATTTATTATATCGGTTGACGAACAGACGAGATATAACTTAGATTTAGTCATGATCGAGTGCTGGCTATAAATTTCGTCGGCTAGTAGATGCTATGCAAATAGATTTGGCTATGCGGTAACACATCACTAATAACCACGCCAGCAGGCGTGAGGATATCTACAGTCTGAGATACAGATTGTACGAACAGTAGTCTCACATTCTACGTCTTGTTTGGGATTTAGATGACGGTGCCCTTTTAGCGGTATATTGCATTGAACTATATAGTACCACCACAATGGTGTTCACAGGGGGTATAAATTTATATTTACATTAGTTATAATTTTATCTATGTAATTTTCGCCAGACTACCTGGTGGCTACCTCCCGTTTGTATCCCCTGTTTTGTGCTCCCCCACATATTTGTGCTATATTATGAGACCGCAATACTACACGTGTAAACGAATAGCTGTGATATTTGTAGACGTATTCTAACGTTTACTATATCATGGGACCGCAATACTAATAGTATAGATCGGAATTTCGAAAGCACTCACGCGCTATGTGATATATCGGGCTAGCATCATCGTCGTAAATTATTCATAAGGGGACGTGAGATATTTTATTGACATAGGCCTACGCCCCCATCGTGGCGCTCGCTAATATATGAGGCCACACATTGGTGCGTGACTTATACGCCACAGCCTATAAACGCTATTAGACAAGACGCTGTGTAGCTCGTGTGTAAAAGTCACTTTAATTGTTTCTGCCTGAATGCGATAAGATGTTGCACTGGCCGTTAGAACACGTTCGTGCTTGAACGCGAGCGAATCTGCGATGAAATGTGTCTTTGCGTTCATGCAAATAAAGAAAATTTCCGTTCACGGGATTTTCGTGGGAAGGCCTAAGATTTATATTATCGCAAAGCCTAGATTTGTTGGTGCCCTGAGTCCGGTTTACATTGGACCTCGTCTTCATCTTAGTCATTTCGATTGGGAAGAATTACCAATACGCGATTACGAGATTACTTCGTGAAACGCCGTGGCGTGTACAGCAAATACTGCGCTCTGATCATATATTGGTACAACCATGGATCACCGGTTGCCCGCTTAACGCTATGGTAGAGAGCTCGGGTTAGGCTTACGATAGAGTTGTTGTTTGAGCCGGTAGGGTTACGATTTTGGTTTGGGGTTAGGATGAGAGTACAGGTAGCAATGAATAGGTTAGAATGTAGCGATAGCGTCAGGAAAGGTAAGAAAATATGGAATTCTGTGTGGGGTTGAGTTGAGGGTAGGGAATTAAGGTAGATTAGTAATAAGGCAGAGAGCTATAGTTAGGGTTAAAGTGAGGGTTCTCGCCATTATAATGCTAAATCTACGCATGTAACACGTGGGCACACGATCCAGATTAGAGAGGGAAGAATTGTGTGCCACGTGAGCATAACTAAATATGACGCTGTATAATTCCATATATGATTTCGAGACAGTCACGTGTCTGGATCGCATCGTCGGGCGCTTAATTGTACGTTTATAAGCACACACCGTGACCCGCACATACCCTGGCATTCTTTTACCCTTTAGTCGAACGAAACTCTAGAAACAAACATGGCCACGGATTACGTCATGTATGGCGTCACTCCGTCAAGCGCCTACTTCCGGCCTAATGTTGCGTATCCGCCGTATCAAGAAGTAGGGCAAAGATCCGTTCTTCCCGTCGTAAGGTCGGGGCAAGCGAACATCGTACTACAGAGAGCGCACGAGTTGCCGTGGAGACCGAGCACGTATAGGTACGGTGGCGACGCCACGCGACGGAGATTAGAGGAGCAGAAATACCAGCAGGTTAGACTGGCTCCACGTGTCAGCTCATCGTCGAGTCTCAAGCTACAGCCTCTGCTGATGAACACTCGCCAGGTGAAGAGTTTCTGCCAACTATGTCTAACTTTTATTCGCATCGTGCGTTCGATTCATTCTGTTGTTGCAACAAAAATATAAACCCAACACCTGATAACGACAGTAGCGGTTGTACTACCTACCAATGCTTCATCCGTAATTTCTAGCCACCCACTGATCTCCTGAACAAGATAGCTACTAGTATACATAACAGGCTATAGTAACATATTCAGTTAGTTCTCATCTATCAACAGCATTAACGATGCCATTTTCTGTTGACATGATCTGTGTGACACTCTTGGTCATGCTTGCTCCCCCGCCACACGTGCGCGCGCATGTGTGTGTGTGTGTGTGTGTGTGTGTGCGTGTGCGCGCGCGCGTATGCGTGTGTGCATGTCCGCCTGTGTGCTCCTGTGTGCGCGTGTCTGTGTGTCTGCGTGTGTGCGTGTGCGCGCGCGCGTATGCGTGTGTGCATGTCCGCCTGTGTGCTCCTGTGTGCGCGTGTCTGTGTGTCTGCGTGTGTGCGTGTGCGCGCGCGCGTATGCGTGTGTGCATGTCCGCCTGTGTGCTCCTGTGTGCGCGTGTCTGTGTGTCTGCGTGTGTGCGTGTGCGCGCGCGCGTATGCGTGTGTGCATGTCCGCCTGTGTGCTCCTGTGTGCGCGTGTCTGTGTGTCTGCGTGTGTGCGTGTGCGCGCGCGCGTATGCGTGTGTGCATGTCCGCCTGTGTG